AAGATTTCAGTACCTAAAAATTCCAGAAATTTCACCATTTCTCGGCCAGGGATATGGCCACCTTAAGTCTGTATTCAGAAAAATTTAAGAGCAGCCGCAGATACCGTTTGAGACTTTGCTTTGCTAACATAAGTACCTATTACATTATTTTAAATAGAAGCCTACACAATAGCGGCTTACGCAAATTAACTTATAGTGATCTAACCAGTGGCGGCGCGTGAACATTGATTGAATGTGTTCTGCTTAGGGTTGTTACATGTGTTGAATTGAATTCCGGGATATTAAGTGCCCGGAGTCTCTAAATGGGAAAAATTTTAAAATTTTCAAGGTCACGCGTTTTCCTGGCACTTCTGAATTTCAAGGAACAATGAATTTATAAAAAAAATACAGATTTTCACAAGAATGATTTTTGAAATTGATACCTTTTTGAAATATCCATTTACGAATTACCTACTGATGGTATAATAATTTGGAATAAACTAAATATATTTTATTAAATTATTGAATATTGTTTATAAAAAAAAATCGTTTGTGAAATTTACCAACGATTCAACGAATTTTAATTTTCCTCGGCGTGTTATGATTTTTTCTTTATCTTTTTTTATATATATGTACATTATATTATATTCCGGGAGTTATACGTGCAAATCCGAAATCCGGGACCATACAGCTAATTCCCGGTACAATCACAGAAAATCCCGGTCATACCAATGTGGCTAGATGTTCTTTTAAAATGTCGTCAAGATCTACACTAAAATTTATGAGTCCACGAAACACATCAGGGTTGTCCGAATTTTCTGTCTCGTCGTGTCCGAGAAGTGCTAATTCGAAAGCTCCGCAAAATTTTATGCAATCTATGATTTTAAATAATACATGACGATTTTTCATTACCTGTTCATATGTTTCCGTATATTATCCCAATATGCAGAATCTAACTGACTTCTTATGTTTATTTTACCTAAAGACTTAATGACTTAAATCTTTCACACTGTATATTGTCCATGCTTTATCCCCACCGAAAAGTAAGCACGGAAAACAAAACAGTGAATATTTTAAATCACACCCGCACACCCACTCTGCTTTTGTGTATACATTATTGTTTTTTTATAACTTTTACTTCTTTTATTTTTAGTTTATCCTCATAAGGCAGAGAACCAAATAAAGTTTTTTTTTAAACGAAACGCTATTCATTTTAATAACTATAATATCCGTAGACGCCTAAACGAAAATATTCACACGTGCCGCTCGCAGAAATAAACCACCACATACCACGTACGAAATATTACTGCATTTACTGCAGACTGCAGCGCAGTGGCTGTCACTATTGCAGCCGCAAAAGCCCCTATCTCCGTGTACTGGGTCACGTGCCTGATCAGCCAATAAAAACAAAGGACGCATATAATTGTTCGCTGTCCACACATTGTGTATATGAGGTTGCATATATTAAGGAGCGTAGCTCGCGTCGCAATAAATAATAATATAAGCTCCTAGATTTATTTTAGCGCGAGTACATTTGGATTCTTTAAATATTTTGTTGACATTTAATATGATTAAATACATAAAATTTTATGTGTTCTGCAGCTCCGCAGCTCTTATGGTAAAACCGCCACTGGATCTAACCATATCAATCTTTCAAACTATTAGAATAACAAGGATAGAGATAACTTCCTGAAAGTTTGAAGAGAATTTTCGTGAACCGCTATTACTCTGATGTGTCGTTAGAATCGCATAACATGCTTAAATAATGATGACATGGCACGCGTTAATAACATCTGACAGTTTCGGAGAAGCTTTGTAGTTTTCAGGCATCAGCCGGTGTGCGCCACGGATGTTATAGGATAACAACGTTTTCGGTTGACTACACTACCGATGATTGGATTGATTAATTACTACAAAATACTTAACCATATAAAATCCCACTCTGAAACTGAAGGCTGCAGGCTTCCGGGACAGTTGTCAATGATCGAACAATTTTCATGCTAGTGACCACTGAGCTTCAGAGTTTCTTCTGAAGAAGACAGGGAGATCAGTCCGGAAATTGTTCAACCACAAATAGCAAGTTTCAGTGCAGAATATTATGAATGAAATAATAGTATGTACAATTGTTACTACAAACGTATTCCGTATAGCAGCATCGACACGAATATTATGGTAATTTTACATAAAATTTGTCTTCATTAGTTCTTGAGTAATAGGTCAAAATTTGCATTTCACATCCAATCTTTGAAGTAATCATTTTAAGAAATAGTGCTACATTTGTTTTATTGTTTATTTTGACAGATATATCATATATAAAAATACTTTCTTGATGTCTCTACATTTGAAAAATCCATTTATCTTTGAGAACTATTGTTGTAGTGGCGTGTTGAAGTGAGTGCTGCTATTCCGAATCCCACCGTTGACTGTATTGTGACTGGCAACGAAACGTGGGTGACCCACTACACCCCTAATATAAAAAGACAATCAATGTAGTGGCGGCATCCATCTTCATCATCAAGGAAAAAAATCAAAACCGTTGTTTCAGCCCGAAAAATCGTGGCAACTGTGTTTTGGCATCGTAAAGGGATTCTCCTCATTAACTTTCTGTCCCAGGGGGAAACAATTAATACTGTGCGGTACTATATAACTCTAAAAACACTGCGTAGGGCGATACAGAAGAAAAGAAGGGGAATTTTAACGAAGGGACTGCGCATGACAATAGATGCTCCCACACTAGACGAGCGGTTAACCCTTAAAAAGATGCTTCTAAATGAAGGTAACCGACTAAATTTTTAAAACAAAAACCTGCAGCATGAAACGTTATTATTTTATAAAGTGTATTTTTCTGATAATTTACGTATTTTTTTATATTTTTCGGCGTGGTCTGTCAATTGTTATAAACAAAAAAGTAGTAATAAAAATTACTTGCCGAATAACTGAAAAGTTTTTTATTGTAAAATGGACACTTAAACAATAAACACGTTTTGTTCTTTGACAAAAATTCGAAAAATGCTTCGTTTCCGAGATATTTACAATTTAATGTGAAAAATGTGACGAAATCGACAAATTTTCGAAATTTTTTTCTCAAAAATTACTGAACAGAGTTTAATTCTAAAAAAAAACATAATAATCGGCAGATCTTCTTCTTTAAGATATATTTTTTTGGTATGGGTGAATTATTTTATTGAAGGTCTAATGCGGTTAAAAAAAAAACAGTCTACAAATAGTGACATTGTAACTCTAGATCCATTGACACATGGATGGAAAATCGAAACTGGTTGTTTGGATTTTAATTATTTCGAAGGAGAAACTGCGTTAGATATGCTTCAAAAATATTTTTGTTCGTGTAATGGAAAATGTTCTATGAAAAATTGTAACTGTTTGTCATCGAACCCGAAATGCTGTGCAGTCTGTGCGTGCTCAGACGAATGTCAGAATGTTCTATCCGAAATTGATGATGAAACGCTTATTTCAACTCAAGAACTTGTCGAAAATAACGAAAAACTTATTATTTAAAAATTAAATAAAAAAGAAATTAATATACTTTTATTGCTCTTAATATTTTTGTAAAATAAAAATAAAATAATTATCCTATACAATAAATTATCCAATAACTTTTTTATTTTTCGAGACCGCTAGGTCAATTATTATTATTAGGTTAATTTTACGATTTAAAAAGCTTATTTAGTTTAGTTTTGGTATAACTTTCAAGTCAATTTTAGCCATTTATAAAACCAAAAATCGAATATTTAAATTTTACTAATTACTTGCAAAAACCTTACTCCGGCTACAAAACCAAACAAAATGATCTTTTGAACATTTGTACTGTTAACATATATCGATTAAAAAAAATCATAATAATGTTTATTGTAAATATAATCTAATCCAAGATATTGTAAAAAGAAAATTTAAATTTGAAGTGTTATCATAATTTTCTTTAAAAGACTTTTTTTACTCGCTTTAGACCTTCAATAAAATGATTGACCCATACCAAAAAAATATATCTTAAAGTAGAAAATCTGCCGATTATTATGCTTTTTTAGAATTAAAATCTGTTCAGTAGTTTTTGAGAAAAAAATTCCGAAAGTTTGTCGATTTCGTCACTTTTTTCACATTAAATTGTAAATATCTCGGGAACGAAGCATTTTTTGAATTTTTGACAAAGAACAAAATGTGTTTATTTTGGTCCATTATTCAAACAAAAGCCATTCGGCGAGTAATTTTTTTTTACAACTTTTTTATTTATAACAATTGACTGACCAAGCCGAAAAATTTAAAAAATATGTAAATTATCAGAAAAATACACTTTATAAAATAAAAAAACTTTCAAGCTGTAGGTTTTTGTTTTAAAAATTTAGTCGGTTCATGCCTTTTTTTTAAGGGTGAACCGCTCGCCTACACGGTTAACGCCATGCACAAAGCAACTTTTGTATTTATTCGGTTGGAACTTCATCAACCACCCTGCTCACAGTCCTGACTTGGCACCATCTGATTTTCATCTTTTCTCTTCTCTGAAGGTGTTTATGGGTGGAACAAGGTTTTCTACCGACGATGACGTCCACAGTGCCGTGAAACAATGGTCCCGAGAATCCGCGGGAGATTTTTTTGACAAAGGTATCAGAAAGGTCAGCCTCGGCTCACAAAGTGCATTGAGATTGAAGGCGACTACGTCGAAAAATAGTGCTTGATGAATATGTAAATTGTTCATAAATATTTCGATTTAAAAAAAAATAAATACTCTTACTTTGTTGATATGCCTCCTATAGGTAAAAATTCATACAGCAAATGTTCCTTTGTATTTCATAATTGTGTCAATTAGTTTGCGAACACCTACCGTCTAAATCTACAGCCTCACATTTCCAAACTTGACCGAATGCCCCTTCTCCTAATATGTTGAAAAATTTCAAACGATGTCTTGGAAATTCCCATTGATCAATATTTTTTATTTCAATAGATTCTTGATTGTCCAGCTACAACAGTAAAAGGTTAAAGATAAAATATTATACATGGATTTTTAATTAAAGTTTGTCATGAATAACTAATAAAAAGCATAGAATGTGTTGTTTGATCTTTAGAACGGGGCAATTTTCTGGCAGTAATAAATAATAATATGCAGCAGCACTAAAACTCATGCGGCTTCTTTATGATATCCACCTCAACCACTTGAATTAACAACGTTTTATGTAGATCCTACTTGAGCAGATTAAAGGATATACAATTTTATTTAAAGTAGGGTTTACTAAGATAGGTACTTGAAGTAGCAACAGCTATCCGATTATACAGAGAGAATTACAATTACTTGCAAAAAATGTCATCTAAAGCTTCGTCTGACGAAACCAGTAATTAATGGGTTACCAAACTGATTTCTTCGATTCTTTTTTTTTTTTGATTTGATTACAAAAGTTCGCCACATTTGAAGATTTTTCAATAATACATAGGCATAGGGAAATTCTGGGATAGCCAAAAGTCGCTAGGAATAGTTTAAACACAGATTGCAATATTTTTGGGTTAGTAGATATTTCAAATGTTTTTTGGAACACATACTTGAGAAAAATAGATTCTAGTGTAATTAAACTTATTACGATTTAAACCAACTTCAAAAATCAGCATCTTTGTGGTATTTTGTGGTATTCAGAAGTCTGTATCTCAGTAGATATTGGCTTTCTGATAAAATCAAGTAGGCTTAAATCGTAAAAAATATTTTAGTTAGTTCATATTTAGCAAAAAAAATTAAGTTTATTTATTCTAGAATACCTTTAAATACTCAAATGTGCGTAACTGCTATTATAAAAAACGATGTAGGTAAGCTGTAATTTCGAAATTATTTCGATTAAAAAAACAACAAATTATTATTAAAGTTAATGGCTCAAAAAATGGCTACAAAGTGATAATCACAGCCAGTGAAACAGAATGTTGTGTTTTAATGTTATCTTTATCTTATTGTTTTAATAACTTTTAATTTTACCGAAAATATGCCAACATGAAAGATATTTAATTACTATTCCAAAAAAAATTACTGGTCACGTGGCTTATAATCATAAAGTTAGTCAAGCGGTATGTGAGAGCACGCGTAAGTATGTATCTTGGAGCTTCTAAATTAAATTTAATATTGTCAACTAACAAAGCAATCTTATTATCCAATGCATAGGAAAAGCTAGAACTGGAAGGTGGCCGTGGAAACTATGTACGAATTAAAATATGGGCATGTGGTAAAATATTCCCTAAAAATTGTAATTAAAATACATAGTGATTTCAAAAGAGTTAGTGATTCATTTTCACATTAATTTGACTTAGTTAAATGGACAACAGTTAATAATTAAAAATATATGGTTCACTTTGGGACTTTTTGATATTTGACCTTGATCTTGACCCACACGGTCATTTCAAGGTCATATCCGAACGAAAAATGTTCCGCTCTTTCCGTTTCCGGGGTCAAAATTATGGGGTCCCATTTAAAAAAAAATCAGAAAAATATATTTTTTTTAAATCTGGATGAAGTCAAATAGTGTTCCGCGATACCAAACCAAAATATCTAAACCTACAGACAATATTCCTGTCGATATTGCGAGAAATAACTACTCTATGAGCTACGTGCCCCAACTAGCGTTGAATTCCACGAGCAATATCAAGTAAACAGTTAGTAATAAATAATTATAAAAATAAAAACTAAAAATAATATATCTAAATATAATAAACATAAAATTACAAGATATTTCTTTGATATAGGTATCATTTCAATTCAATTGCAACATTTTGACCAAATAATGTACTAATCCATCAAATTTCATGGTGTAGGTATCTCAAATTTATTGTGCTATATAATTATATAGTGCCTAATTAGGGCATTAAACCTATTAAATTATACACATCCCGTACCTGAGTATGATTTGAGTCATTCTGCCATGGTTCATAACGATTACTGAACGCTCTTACTCCTCTCCATTCCTGAAGGTTTAATCCTGGACTCTCACGGAGAACTATTCCTCCTGACGATTCTTTTCTCTAAAAGAAAAAGGAATATGTTACTATGGAAAAATTATTGCTACAAATTTTAAACAATATAGGGAAAGGTGGAGCAAAGCGCAATGAGCAAATTGTAAAATAATCTTACGGGATGTACCTAACCATACAACGTATGAAATGAAGGTTTATCGTCCGTATTTTCTTGTATATAATAACTGTTTTCCACCTGCAATTTTGACTGATCTTATGAGCTCTTAGGAATTGTTTTAGGAAAAATCCTTAATCTTGTTTATTTGTTTCTTCTATCGGAAGAATTAAGCCTAAAAGTTTGTCGCAACGTTGTTGTTACATCTTGTATAAACTAAGGCGATCATAAGATAATTTCTAATAACGTCACACTTTTGATTAATATTAAATATTTGTTCATCGTTTTGTGGGATATTAGTTGCGAAAAAATCAAATTTCATTTCACTTTGCCCGTTCTCTCCTACCTTGAAAATAATTCAACATTACTAACAATTCAATTGCCAAAATTGTATTACAGTTTCACGTATGTAAAAATATGATCTGCACTAAAAATTAATGATACAGTGCATACTACGTCATTAATATGTGAAAATTAGCATGAAATTAAAGCTAATTAATTGTTATGAATTTACTCTTTATGGTATTTACAAGTTAAAATACAATATCTAATTACTATAATTTTTATTATGTAAATTTTCTCTCTATTACATATTTACCTGGTTTTAGTTACGTTTACATTTAAATATTTTTATTCCTAAAATTTTAAATTTCTTATGATGGCTAAAAAGGATGACTACCAATTTTATCATGGTTTTGTAATCCATAAATTCAGTTTTCCTCTTTTATTTTATATTTAACAAGTGACATTTCACATATTTATCTTGGCAAAAAGTTATTTCTTGTTTTGATCCTATTTTGGTTACAGCTTACTTAATACTAATTTAAGTGTTCTAATTATTGCAAGTATATATGGTTATTGGAAGAAAATATGATTAATACATACAAAACTTCGAATATTACAAAACATTGAACATTTAAAATATTTTTTATTATTAAGTAAACCATTATTTTTACGCATGCTTCTATGCATGGAGTTAATGGCAAAGTAATGGAAATTCTTTGACATCAAACAATTTTGAAGGAATGTGCCAAATAAGAGCATGTCCTATCTCAAAATCTGGTTTTCAAAACAGATAGAGTTAGGATAATACAAAATTAGCGATTCAATTATCTTTAGTAAATGAAGTTCTGCAAAATAATTTGTATCAAAGTTGGCATATGAGATTGCAGCAAAATTCGCCCCAGTGTACTTTGTTCAAACACTTGATTACTTATTTGTTTCATGGTGTTTCTAGAATATGTTCTATTGCATTATTTTATGTTCTTAGAAGCTTAGAGATTGTCCTACTTAGAACCCTAAGGAAATTTCGAGAAACAACGAAAAAATAAAAAAGGCCGCGCTAATGCACAGGGGAGATACAACTTGGTGTCACAATCGGAATTATCAACATTATGTGTTTGAGAAGATAGTAAATGCCAAACATCTTATCGAAATGGTGATGACAATGAAGATATTTAACCGGACCCTAGAGAATCACCTAAGAATAGTCGTTTTCCTATTGACTTATCGATTAGTAGCCATGTGACAACCGGTAGAACACCAGGCAATGCAGTCTTCGGTAGACGATTATGGACACCCTTCAACATTGTTTATGGCCATCCAAAAGATAAAATTGACACACTAGAAAACTACCCATCCCAATTAGCAAACAAAATACATGCCATCGATGATAATGTCTGACAGAAAATGTGATTCGGAAGCGAATAGCTGAAAACCGGGTACGAAGGCCAATAAAAAATACTCAAAACGATCAACGGTGTAGTCTACAGGACCCAGAGAGGTCTCAGAGCGAAAATGAAAATCGTTCACCAGGATCATTTGGTCCAATATTGAGCACCTATTGAAGAGAACTCTGATCGCTAATTGGGACGATCATCTTTAGGACGGAAAGGACGGTTTACTTATTCGTTTCATAATGTTTTAAAATAAGCTCTACAATGTTCTTATAAACCTATGGAAAATTTATATTAACGAATTTCCTTTATTTTATATTTAATTTAAGTTTTGCTTAATTATTTTACATTTCATATTTTTCTTTGAATAATCAATAAAAGAAACAACGTCTGCAGTCTAGAGAAAATTTGGTATTATCTCCTTAAAGCTCAGTTTGGCTTTTAAAAATTATTTTCAAATTATTTTTTTGATATCTTAGTATGCTTTTAATTTTTTTTATCTTTGATATTTGAATTTTATTGTCACATATTTGCTCAAAGAGAAAAGTGTCTTATGATTAGAACTTACCATATCTTCCTTAGAATCTTTGGGCTTTCCTAAGTATATTTTTTTCCTGAACACCATGGCGATAACTCCGACTGTTAAAAATACTGCAAACACTGACGCTATAGGTATAACGGTAGCAGTTAATTCTGGAAGAGACTTAACTGACTGATCAACTGTTAACAATTCATTTGTTGATTCTATGTCTTTATTTACTGGCCTGGCAGTTGTGGGTTTCTGAGTATTAGTGGTACTTTCAGTCTTCTCCGACAAATTATTGTCAACCTCTTTCTCAATTTCCACAGGTTTGAGAATGGTTGCTACATTTTTGTCAGATTTTTTCTCAGGTTTTCTGGTATTTTGTTCTGGATAAGTTTTTTGTTGGAAAATATGCTGCCTTTGTATATAGGGATTATTAGATATTTCGGGAGGGGGATTATTGGTGTAATCAGGCAGTGATGGAGGAAGTGGAGGTGGTTTCGGTGGAAGAACTCCGGGATATTTGAATATATTCGCATTCTGGCCGAGGGAAAATGGAGGTCTATTGGATTTCGAAGGGTTATAACGCAATGACTCATTCAAAATGTTTACGTTAACTTCCGTCTTCGCAAGGAGTTGCCCATCGAAAGCAGTCACGTACAAGTGAAGGTTTTGTCCAGCCTGAAAAATAAAAAATTATAATATTAGTAATTATATCAAATGACCAATGTGCTTTATTTAAAATGTTAGCACTTCCTTGAAAACTTAATAAAATATTTTATTAATTACATTCATTATCTCCATTATAGTAACACATCCTGTATAGTAATTATTTATTTTAATAATGTCAAAAAATTATTCTAGTTGATATTTCAAACTTCAAGCATATGCCGATGACACTCAACTTTATTTTCATTTAAATTAATGATTTTTGACAGGCAAATGACGTCATCAACTCTGAGTTATAAACTATAAAATTGTTATCGGATGAGCATAATTTAAAATTGAACTCAAATAAGTCGAAAGTTTTGTTTTTTGGTAGTGAAAATAATTTCCGAATTTTAAGAAGTAATTTTGAGGTTATGATCGATGGTATTCCAGTTCTCATTACTACCCATGCAAAAAATTTAGGAGTAATTCTTGACTGTAAGTTGCGTTTTGATGGCATGTTAAATAACTACACAACTACAAAAGTTCTTAATAAAAAACTTAAAATCATGTTATGCGAGTCACTTGTTCTTTCCCATTTCAATTATTGTGACTACGTATATGGTCCTTGTCTTACACAACAGGAGAAATACAGGATTCAAAAAGTACAAAATTCATGTTGTCGTCTTATTAGTGGTCTAAGAATATATGACCATATATCTCATGTTATTGGGGAGATCAAGTGGCTCAACATGGAAAATCGTAGGCGTCACCATCTTTGCAATTTTTTTCATAAGATTCTTACTATTCCTTCTCATCATTCTTTAAAAACTAATTTTATACAGCGTGGTAATGTTCATTCTAGAGATATTAGATTTACAAACAAATCCACGATACTCCATCAAAGAACTGCTTTTTTCAGAAGATGTTTTAGATACAACGCTATTACATTTTATCACTCTTCCTGACAAATTATTTAACATCAACAAATTTAAATATAAAGTTAAACAATATTTATTGAGCAGCCAGCATACTACTTAAATTGTTAATATGATTCTTGATTTGATACTTAAGTTTGTTGTGCTATTCATTACTTTATGATTTATAAACAATAATACTAATACATGTGTAGACAACTTTTATTATGTTTGTGTGTTTGTGTTGCAATGTCATTCTACTTTGAATTTCAATACCTTCTCTATTATGATATTGCTTACCTTATGGTTGAGTGGATTATATTATATTTATTTTATCTAACCAAAAAATATAGTAATAATAAAAATATATTGCTGTAATATATTACAGTCCTTCTCTCACTGATATGCAATGTGCCAAATTTAAATTTGGTATCGCATCTGATTTTTATGACCGGTTTTATGTTGCAGCAAAAATATGGGACAGGATATTATATTTGTTTAGTAAGCCCTAAATTCTTGGATACTTACTTATTGCACACATATATTGCCCATTTGGGGAAAGCAATATTCATTTGATTTTGGTTATCAAATTTAATTTTATTTTTCTACTCATATGTATATTGGTGACAACAATAATTTTCTCATGGTTTAGTATACAGGGTGATTCACAACTTATCCAAAAAAATTTGGGAATGAGAAATGGAATCAATATCGTAAAAAAAATTTTTAAATCTAGTTTCCGAGAAAAAAAGTATTGCAGTTATAGTACATTCAACCACTACATAGCTGGACAACTGTAGTCTCTAACGTCATTCGCCACGTGGCCTCAGCGACTCCGAATACTGAATTCGGATTTTGTAATCGTCGTTGCGATATTTACTTGCTATCTGTGGTGTTTACAACAGGTTTTTAGTAGTTAGTGTCAAAAATGGGTAGTTTGTGTCAAAAATGGTTTGCGTGTACTCGGAGTTGATGGATATCGTTTTAATTTATGGTGAAGCATTTGTGTTATAATGAAACAAGACAACATTTGTGTTAGTTCGTAGAAACTGAGTACAACAGACCCAAATGTGTTTACACATTGGTGGATAAAATTTTGAACAATTGTTGTAACATCGGGTATGTCAAATGATTTTATTATTTAAAAACACAAATTAATTTTATTAATTAATAAAGGCAAAAGCAGTTGAATTTGCCGATATAAAATAGGTGCGATAAAATTCTATTTACATATTTCTTTCCTTGCGAAAGTTTTTGTCCGTTTTTATCACACCGCCATGCCGGTCGCATTGTGCGAGGTCAGGTTTTACAGTGGACCAGTTTCCAGTGCCGTGCAGAAGTGTATTTTTAAATCATTTTCGAACTGCCCTTTTTGATTTTTTCTTTACAAAATTGTATTTGTAAGGGTCCCCTGTACATCCAGAATTTTTTTTTTTTGATAAGTTCTGAATCACCCTGTATACAGAATATAGGTATTCAATGTCGCTTTCTAAAGTTTTCGTCGCATCGTTATGATAAATCGTTGTCCATTAGAGGATATTACCAAAATCTCCTTTTAAGGTGATAGCTGACAGTTCAAGGTTATTAAAAATGGAACGCTACACGAAAGAACAACGTGTATTCATTGTTGAGCAATATTTTTAAAATAATGAAGGTTTCAGCAATAGTTCACAATTTTCGTACAAAATATAGTCGGAATAACGATTTAACTTTATCAACTGTGAAGAAATTAATTGCAAAATTCAGGGACTCTGGATCAACTTATACTTAACTTTCAATAGTCTGGCCGTCCTCCAACAAGTAGTTCAGCACAAAATATCGAAGCAGTGAGAGTGTTGCTGAAAGTCCAGGAACATCAATTCGGCATCGTTATCAAGATTTGGACATTTCAAGAAGCTCCCTATGGCGTAAGCTCACGAAAGATTTGTATCTTCATGCTTACAAAGTTCGGTTGACTCTAGAACTGAAATCTACTGACCACGCTGAGCGAGGAGTGTTCATTTCAAAGAGTCCAGATATGACAAGTTGCGACTTCTTTTTATGGGGATTTATAAAAAGCAAAGTTTACGTTACACCACCAACTACCGCGGAAGATATGTGGCATTGCAATACAGTAGCATTTCAGGAAATTACGTTAGACATGGTGACCAATGTTGAACAGTCTTTAACAAACCGAATTCGTTTGTGTATTAATCAAAATGGAAGACACTTCGAGCAATTGATGTAAATCAGCGGTCTAAGTATTCTTCTCCTTGTGTGTTCCGAGTTTCAATTGGTTTCGTTTTGCGTTTTGTTTTAGTTGTTGTTAGTGGTTTACTTCTTTTTGTCAAACCACTTTTTAAACATGTCAGTAAATATTGACACTGTCAGTCCCAGGCCTGATAAAATGTGAGAGAAAAGTAGTTTTGCAAGACCTTCTTGACGCTGCTTTTTCGGACTTTAGAAAAGAACCTAATTTTTCTGGAAAGCTGTTAAAGATAAGTATGAACAACTTTGTATCAGTTGCCGAGTCTGAATAACGTACACGTTTTGCTCACAGATGACAAGATAGAGTAATTTATGCCAAAACGAACTGTGAAAACTGCATGTTTCTAACTCTTACGGTTTAGACGCTATCTAGCCTCATTTAGAGATCTGATATCGTGATTTTTTTTTCAAAAACATCTGATTATCTCGAAAACGGTAAGTTTAAACACCATGTACATTTGATAAACTCTACCTAATAATAACCAAGAAATTCAAAAATGCAATAATATAAAGGGTGTTCCATTTAAAATAACAAAGTTATTGGAACGCGAAATGGAACATCCTGTAAAGCTAAAAATATTTTCCTTACATGGCCCACATGATTCCAGACAACTTTTATTAAAACCATTTTTTTGTATATGCAGAATAAGATGGAAATGAAGGCATCAAGGAAATGAACGAAATGGGCTCCGTTCCCCACTCTACTACTTTGCTACTGACTGATCATTCTACCCTTAGCCTCAAATGAATTTAGTTTACCTATAAATTTATTGTAATAGTTTAGTTTTGTCCTGTAAATGGAATTTGCTCACTTGCGCAATAAACGTATTTTTAATATATGAAAGAAAGAATGCCAAATTTGTGATTTTCTTTTTAAAAAACAAAACTAATTAAATTTACACGAACCTTCATATTAATTAATTTAGTTTCAGTGGAAAAGTTTTTGTTACAAACCTAAAGATATACAGAGTGTCCCGTCCATGTTTCAAAAAAACTTGTGTGCAAGTTCCTCATGGAAAAATAATAGGGGTAGTTCATGTAAAGTTTTTGAGATGCAGTGTGTTGAAGTTGTTACTTTCCAAATGGTTTTCCTTAATTATCTTTAAATCGGCTAAAGATAAAGATGTCAAAATTTGTACATGAGTAAACATCAACTGGCGTTAAGAATAATATGCAATACAGGTAATTGGAGGGGTACAATCGAAAAAAAAAATATGTTAAAAGTCAAAATTTATTACATTTCTAAATGGTTCTGTAAACTCTAAAGGATACTACAAAAAAAAAAGCTATACTTGTCGAAATTCGGTAGCATGTACCATTTTCGAGAAAAATGAAGTTGCATAGAAGAAAATGGGGGACAATTTCAGTAGCTACTGTAGTATTTCGAGTTTCCACATTTATATAATTGTGCAGTTGTTTTGTTCTGTATGTCTCCGAGTCTGTTTCCTAATATTTTTCTGTTTTTATTACTTTTTTTTACTGTTGGTAGCTAAATGTCTTCAGCTCATTCAATGGTAAGGCCCTCTTTCAATTTAATATTTTATTTATGTACTTGCAAAAAAATGCAACTTCATTTTTCTCGAAAATGGTAGATGCTACCGAATTTCGACAAATATACTTTTTTTTGAAGTATCCTTTAGAGTTTACAGAACTGTTAAGAAATGTAATAAATTTTGATTTTTAACATAGTGTTTCTTCGTTTGTACCCCTTCAATTACCTATATCGGCGACATTGATTTTCAGAAAGAAACCGTTTGCACATTATTCTTAACGCGCAGTTGATGTTTTGAAATATTTTGAAAATATATATATGAAATATTTTGAAAATTTCCTTCAACACATTTCGAATCTTTATTGTTTTTTCAGTAT